TTCTTCTTGGCTTTGAAGTTTGCTGGATATCCTACCAGCTTATAGCATGTATCTCTGGTGTGTCCTTTGAAATGACACTAGTTACAGTAGAGGTTGTTCTTCTTGTGTCTATAGACAGGTCCTGAACTAGAGGATCCTCCTTTGTTATTGTACATGATAGTATTGCCAGGATTGTGTGAGTTAGTAGCCCTATAACCTCCATTATTGCTAAACAAGACTATTCCTTCATTTATCTCAGGCACATGTGTGTGGGGAGTCAATGATCTCCTACTTTCCTCAGATACTATAACAGCATATACCTTATTAATTGAAGGAGTTGGTGACATCATCATAATCTGATTACTAAACGTAGCATATGACTCATTCAATCCTATTAGAAACTACTAAAGTCTTTGGGACTCAAAATGCTCAACTTACTTTTTGGACTCTTCAGAACCACAACCAGGACAAGGCATCAAATTCTGCCCACAATTCCTTCAGTTTTGAGAAATAGAGTGAAACTGATGAGATATCCTGATTTAAGGTGGCTATTTGTCTATGAAGATACAAAATTCTAGATCCATTTACTTTATCAAAAGTTTCCCTAAGATCATTCCAAACCTTCTGAGCACTCGTAGCATACACCATACCACTTAGTAATTCATTGCTAACCAAATTCATTATCCATGAAAGCACTATAGCATTACACTTCTCCCACAGCTCATGTAAAGACGAATCAAATTTGTCCTTAGAATACCTACCAATGACAAATCCTAATTTGCTCTTTTCTAGTAAACTAACTCGCACAGAATGTTCCATAAGGCATAATTCTCAGGTCCAATGAGTTTAATTAAAATTAACGAGCTAACTGGAGTATTGCAAGGCTGGAGGAAGAGTGGATGATGCTGATCTACAATTGGAATCTACCAACGCCGCCTCTAGATGCAGGTGGTGTAGGGATATCAGTAGTATTGTCCGAAGTCTCAATCTCCATTGGAATAAGATTGAAAACTCAGAGAAATTCCTGAATTATGAAACCCTAACTGCTCAAAGACGAATCACACCAACAATTGCGACTCAAAAGCAATTAGGTAAATGAAGAACAATTGAAGATAGCACCAGAGAGGAGTGAACGGAGCTTGGATCAATCTGCTAGCTCTGATATCATGATGATTTCTGGTGAGCAACCTTCAGCAAAAGAGAGAAAAGAAAGAAGCGAGATCATCATGATTATGGAGAGAACATTTCTCATATTATCAGAAAATTAAAAATTACTGTACAAAGCTAACTAACTTCTGTTATATACAATGCACTAACTAACTCTTTTAACTTAGCTGTGTCCAGCTGTCACTAACTTCCTAACTACCATTAACTAAGCCAACTTACTACAATTATCGTTAACTAAGCTAACTAACTATTGTTAGGCTCTTATTATCTCAACAATAATGTATCTTGAAATCAGAATCACAGTAAATATAACGTATACTTCTGAATATTAACTCATAACACAGTAATCTATAAACTCAAATTAATTTCCTTAAAAACTTGCATATGTTTTTATATGTAGAAAAATGTACAAAACTATTGCGATACACAGTAAATATAACGTATACTTCTGAATATTAACTCATAACACAAATATGGATTAAAATTGTTACAAATACACTATACTCTTCTTCCCAGGCTCGCTCTACTCTATATTTGAAGCTTCAACTTAATCATTTGGACGGAGGAATTTGACCTACCAACTGCAGGCTCAGATACAAAAACGGTATCCAAGTTGCTCAACAATGCTTAGATGTAAGGGAGTAATGAACTAAGGCCCAATTTACATTTTCAATCTACTAGGGAAGTGCATAGACATTGGGTAAGGGAGTACTATGGAATAATGTCCTTGTATTATAATTTAGGGGGCATTTGCATCTATACTCGCCTTTTGGATTACGTTTTAACTTGTGCCCGTTTTGCAAAAAAAAAAAAAAAAAAAAAAAAAAAAAAAAAAAAAAAAGGAAAGCAAAAGAAGCCTGTCAGTTCTCAAATTCACAACTTACAATTGAACAGAAACAACCTTCTTTTTTCGTTTTTGAACAGGGAGATTTTCCTTTATATTTTTCCAAATGACATGATCATATATCAGGAGCTAAAATACTAATTAAGCTTCGATTGTACTTCATTTCCAGCAATCTCACAGCAAATGTTTCTACATCTTGAATGTCAGAAGAGANGGGCTGAAGTAGCAAAGACAATCACGCAAAACTTCAGTATTCTAGTAGACGGGCCTGAAGTAGCAAGTGTGCTGAAGTTTTTGTTTGTAATTGCTGAACTTAAGCATAGTAGCTAAAGCTTTGTTCTTTATTTGCTAAAATTTTTGTTTGTAATTGCTGAACTTAACCATAGTAGCTGAAGTTTTGTTCTCTATTTGCTGAAGTTTTTGTTTGTAATTGCTGAACTTAAGCATAGTAGCTGAAGTTTTATTCTCTATTTGCTAAAAATTTTGTGTGTAATTGCACTAAATAAGCTGAAGCTTTTTTGTCCTGGATTCATTAGTTTTGTCATTAAGCTTTTTCAAAAATATCAGCAGAAGATGCTGAAGTTATTTAGTTCATTTATAAAAACTTCAGCACTAAAATAGTTGAGTTTTTTTTGTCCTGGATAAGCTTTTTCAAAAATTTCAGCAGAAGATGCTGAAGTTATTTAATTCATTTGTATAAACTTCAGCATTAAATAAGTTGAAGTTTTTTTTTTGTCTTGGATTCATTAGTTTTGTCATAAAGTTTTTTCAAAAACTTCAGCAGAAGATGCTGAAGTTATTTAATTCATTTGCATAAACTTCAGCACTATATAAGCTGAAGTTTTTTTGTCCTGGATTCATTAGTTTTGTCGTAAAGCTTTTTCAAAAACTTCAGCAGAAGATGCTGAAGTTATTTAGTTCATTTGCATAAACTTCAGCACTATAAAAGCTGAAGTTTTTTTGTCCTGGATTCATTAGTTTTGTCGTAAAGCTTTTTCAAAAACTTCAACAGAAGATGCTGAATTTATTTAGTTCATTTGTAAAAACTTTAGCACTATAAAAGTTGAAGTTTTTGAAAAAGCTTTCTAACATACTAGATAAATAATCAGATTGTCAACAGTATCTAAATCATAAATTTTGAAAATAATAAACGTGAAAAGAATAGAATTATCATGAAAAGAATCACTAAGCGTGACCTTAAACTTCCCGTACGTGGAAATATTCACAAATTATTGTCTACTAACTTATGTAATTATTTATAATTTATTTTAAATAATCTAATAAACATACTTATGACAATCATCCCATGAACTGAAGTTTCATAGCAGCACCAACAGCAGCAGAAGAAAGAAGAAGAAGAAGAAGAAGAAGAAGAAGAAGAAGAAGAAGAAGAAGGAGGAGGAGGAGGAGGAGGAGGAGGAGGAGGAAGGGGCTGAAGTTGTTTAAAAAGTGGGTACAAATTAAAACTTTAAAAAAATGGGTATAAGTTCAATGAGGACGGCCAAATAGAACGCCCCATGTAATGTTTACCAATTTAGGACGTAGTTGGTAAAGTGTCATCAAAATCCAACAGAGAAAGCCCAAAGACTTGGGACCAGATATACCAGAATCCTCTTTGTCACTTTAAATGCAATTAGGTTGTTTGGGCATCAAATGAAATTAATGAGACATAATTTTTGCCCCTGTACTTGCTGGAACATTGGAACTACAATATGAACCTTAAAATTGGATGAGCCCAACGACGCAGGGCCCACTGGGCCATTTCGGAGCTAGCCGTTTTCATTACTAAGTTAACGGATGAAGCTTAATTGCAAGACAGTATATGACAGTTATGTTCTTTGAGCCATTAAAGGGTCGTTTGGCAAGGTGCATAATAATAATAATACTGAATAAAGTATTAGTTATACTAGGTGACTATTTGGTTTGGTATATTAAAAATAACATATATTGTACAATTTTTAAAAGAATTATTTCGTACAAAAATACCCTCCAACGACTTGGAAAAGGATTCAGAAAAGAGTTCTGAAAGTAAGGTTCTGTCTTTATATATGCTTATCCATGGATTAAAAATTATGGTATTACTAACACAACTATTTGTTGTGTATAAGAATAATAATGAATATAATATATAACTAATACATGTATTAGTTAAACATAGCTCGAAAAATACTGTCAAACAAGGGATTAATAATATCAAAGATAATACTTGTATTATTTTTTCTGATATATAATACCAAACGACCTCTAAGATTATTCGCTTCTTTTTTCCTAAATAATGTAAAGCTTTTTTCTGAAAGATCCTTTGAAGAAAAATATTTTATGTGAAAATAGAATATCGCTGCCCTTATAAATAACGGATGCCCAATTGGTTGAGTCCGTAGGAGTTTTTTTTTTTTTTTTTAAAAAAAATTCTATAGAAACAAAACGAAGCCACACAAATAACTTTCCTCATTTTCCACACAAATAACGGATTTCATATTCGAGAATATAAATTAACTTCATGTAATGCAAAGTTATACGCTTTATATAACTTACCTCATTTTGTGCAATACTTTTGACATCAACCACTAGTTTGTAGCCTTCAATTTCCTTTAATTTGAACCATTTTGATCCTCTAATTCAAAATCTTATGGAATATTCCTGCTTCTTGTGGGAAAGTGATTGGCTCAGTATAGTATTTAACTTAAAGTTCGAGGGAATAGTCAAAGAGAAAAAGAGAAGAGCTATGATTGCGTTAATCACTGTAGTATTCAGTATTCACTACAAAAAGTACACATAAATATCCAAAATGTCAAAAAGGAGAGTAGAAAATGAAGAACATAGCAGCAAAAATAGCAATCACAAAATTAACATCTTCAACCCCAGGTATTGATATAGAAAGAATTGGAATACAATATTTATATAATTTCGAAAATTGCAATATTAAATAGTCAGATTAAATGAAACATTAAGCATAATTCTAAAAGGCCTCCAATAGAAAAAGTGAAAAAAGAAAAAGGAAAAAGCAATTTCAAGACTCGGCTCTTTCATGTGGATGATGCTCATGTGAATTTCTTTGTTGATTAGATGCCTCTTCCTCTCTCGTCTCCACCGGCTCCGGCGCCGGCGCAGCACCATCGGGGCTACCGCTGCTGCTGCTTTCTACCACCACTACCGGCGGTGCTACAGTCACGGGGGGTCGTGGCATCGGGTCGACCCGGCCATCGATACAAGACGCGCACTTGGTTTCAACCCACCCTTCAAAGTCGTACTGACCCCGACCCATTATCCTCCGACCCGAACACAACCTGCCTATCATCACAGCGATGGCTCCCAGTACAGCTATTACTGCTAGTACAGCGATAACGGGTCCAACCGACCCGTGACCCGGACGATCAGAATAAGCTTGTTGGCCCATAAACATGGGCGGTGGTAGTAGCTGTTGCTGCTGTTGCTGTTGAGGATCTTCAGCTGGTGTAGAGGACATTTTGAAGAATACCCAGAACTAAAAATGGACAGTACGGTATTTCTGTCGGAGATATTCTTGTTTATCTCCCGTTTGAAAAGAATTTAACTTTCGTGGAATTTGATATTAAACAATAAAGTAGTAATCTTGGAAGGAAAAAAGAGCTAAAAAAGCTGAAAAGGCTTGGTTTTTCTTGAAAGAGAATAAATTGATTGAGCTGTGGCCATGTTCTAAAATGAGAAGGGAGAAGCTAAGAGTAAGGTGATGGACTGATGGTTTATTTTGTTATGGGGAAAAAGAGAAGAAATGGGAAAGGTAAAAGGAAAAAGTGGAGGGAAAAGGGGAAGAATGGCCGAATAGGGAGTGTAAATATTTTAGGTCATGTTTTTGTGAGGGTGAACAAAGCCCAAGAAAAATGGCTTTTAGTCTACTTTTATACAAAAATGAGAACTCAGGGGTGGTGTGGGGAATGGGGGTTGAGCTAGCTTTTTCTTTTTCTCTAAAGACCTTTTCTTGGCAGAGATAGCTATAAGCTGTGTGAAACTAGTTTTTGATATGATATGAAATCTTGAAATGGCAGAGTTAAGTTGAAAAAGAATAGAAAGAAAGATCTACTAGTGTTCTCCCTTGACCCTGAACAGCTCAGCCATTAAAGCAAACGTAAGTAAAATTTGTCTCTGTTCTGTTGTGTTATATTAAATCCCAGGAATTTTTTCAGTAGCATGTCAATGGACCACCAAGAAATATCACACTGTTAACATTATAGTACATATAGTTTGAATTTAAAAGTTCTTAGTACTCCTATTACATTTTCTAGATCCTGATAATGAGGGAAAAGAAAAGAATGAGCAGAAAAAACCGAAGGATTAATTGAGATTTTGAGATCAAAGGAAAGTCTAATGGATATTGGACCATTGGTTCAAAAGTCACAGTTAGAATTGAATGAAGTTGTGGGTACAAAAGAGAGTGCTGCTTCTGTATGTAACTCGATAGAGCTAACAAATGGCCCACAACGAAAATTTTCTGTCAGAAATCAAAAGGAATCCTCTAAAGGCATCTTTGCACTGCACAAAATGGCCAAGTCACGCTGAGAATAATTCATGATCTGTACTTCACAAAAAGCCCTCAATTTTTGAGTCTCTCGACTCATGCTTCAACTGGCAGTACTGCAGGTACTCTTTTGTAGTAATGTAGTTTTACTTTACATAGTTATTAAGAATTGAAATTGTGCACTCTGTAGTGTGTTTGGAGAAACATTTTTTTTAGAGACAACAATGCAATGGTTGAGATTACTTCGCTCTTACTTAGAGAATAGTAATTGAGCTCCGAAAATAAAGAACCTACGAGAATTGTATTGAAAGAAAATAATGTGTCCGAGAAGTATATATATTCTTTGTTGAGAGGGATTGATATAATTTTTGCTACATGTGAAAAGTGAATGTTCTTTTTTAAAATGTAGAAGTGAAGGTAGGAATTCAATTTTAAATGGACGGAGTATATATATTTGTGGGAAACCCCCTAAATGAATACTCCATCATTCAAAAATTCCGTGTTACAGAACAGATCGCAGCATAAGAATCTTCGAAAATGAATAGGATATCAATATCATAGATAGATAGTGATAGGAAGATTTATGAATAGAACAAATACAACATGAAGATGGAAGCACAAGACTTTCGCATATCCAAATATTGATTAAATCTTTTGTAATTTAAAATAATTAGGTTTCAAAACGGGCACTTGAAAGATGACATGATTGCCAATTCTTTATACATACTCTTTTTCTACTCTTGCTGATAGGTTTGCTTTAGTTTAAAAGGTCAAAAAGCTCAACAATCATGCTCAATCTCCTCGGCAAAGTTCATCAATTTTACGTTTAAAAATGTCCCTTTATAGTTTATTGGTCTAATGGTGTTTAATGACTTTTAAATCTATCCAAGTTAAAAGTTCTGTCCCATAATTTTTAATACGTGGTAGATCATGCTACATTATTATTAATAGCAAGACCAACTAGGACCGGAGGAGACAAGAGGAAAGTAATTTATTTATGAGTTTAATTTTCATATATTAATTGTGTAGTTATTTTTTATGTTATTTGTTCATTTATTAATTATATGTAATTATTCCTATGCAACTTGTTTGAAACTGAGGTGGAAGGATTGTGGTTGTTGTTGTTGTTATATTCATTTGTAACGTAAAACAACCAGTTAAACTACACTAAGGACACATTTGGTAAGATGTATTAAATGAAATAGTCATGATATAAAAATTGGTGTTGCTTTGTTCCGTTTTTGGTTAATATGTTGAATTCTACATAGCTAATTCTTATACGTTTCAATTTAAATGACATATTTTCCTTATTAGTCTGTTACAAAAAGAATAACACATTTCTATATTTAGAAATATTATAACTTTAAGCTTTTTACTTTACCCTTAATAAAAAACTTTTATAATCACACAAATATTATGACGCCATAAAGCTTTTGCCCCTTAAACTTTTAGGACCACATATTTTAACAATATTTTTTGTATATAATTTAATACACCAATTAATGTATTTATTCTACATGCATAGTATAACAGGGAATAACAATACATGAAGCAAACACTGAAAACAAAAAAATTCTGTATTTTGTTTTTTAAATCATGACTCCTAAAGTCCTAATAACGTAACGTTATTTACATTATGAATGTACATATATTAAATTCTTTATTTATTCATGCTTTTGTGGGGATACTACTATTGGGAGTCCAGAACCCATTTGTAGTTCTTTTGGACAAGTGTGACGAAAATGTGTGTTTAAAAAAAAGAGTAACATTTTTATATATAGCTATACTTTAACGGAGTTTTGGCCGTTAAAGTATAGCGCTCTTTAAAAGAGCGCTATATATATATAACGCCATTGTAAACCGCGCTATACAGGGCTGATAAGACAGCTATGTATAGCGTGATATATAACCGCGCTCTATATGTATAGCGCAGTTATATACCACGCTATACATAGATAAATAAACGGTCCCCCTCCTTCTTCCCCACATTCGAACCAGAC